TAGGAATAAGTCTATACCCCCTACTTACGGCTATGTTAACGCATTCGCAATTTCACAAAGTTCAAAATTTAACTTCAATGTGTTGCATAACAGGACACTAATTATCTCGAACAATAAACAGAAAAAGTAAATACGGCTTGTTACATAAGGATGCTACAAGAAGTTGGTTAATGCCCATCGCCGTATTTTACTGTATTGCACATGTCCTTCGATGAACTTCCAAACCCATACAGATGGGCGAATGAATACTAATGTACATAGAAGGTGAAGGCGTGATCACTGTGCCAGCACTTGCATTTATCTGAGCTTTCGATTTCGTTTTCAGTGACAATGAAAGTGTAACAAGAATTGACATGTTTCGTATTCCAGCCACGAGAAAATGGGGGCGGGCTGGGGATAGGGGGGGGGAGAGGTAGCATTCGTGATAGGTTGAGTCCACGCCCATGTCGTCTCACGTCTTCGTCACGGCGTGCGTCCTTCGACAGGAACTGGGCAGCGCTTCTCGGCCGCGCGAACGAAGGGCGTGATAGCGGGGTGATATATCAACATGTCTTTTGATGGAACTGGAGTCAGATACCCAGACCTCCAACAGTTCTCGCCCCATTTGTTTACTTGTTTTCCGTGTGCCCGTGAAGTTGAATTCGTGGCCTTCCTTCAGGGTGTGGGTAGTGATCTGAGACAGTGGTTCACCTTTTTGCACTGGGACTTGCATTTTCCCTTATATGGTTTTTAATTCTGTCAGTCATTTGTCCCATCAGTTGGCTAACCGGCTCAGGCGACCAAATGATGTGCGGAAACGGCCGGCCGTTCATGCATTTTCCGCAATATAAACAATCTGACGAGCCGAAGACTATCACCGTGCGCTAAAACCATGGGCTTTGCCGTCAGCCCAGTGTGCGTTTGAGTGGAGGGGACCATTCGTGGACTGACATGGCTCCATCTTAATGTAGCCCCCATGTCCCTTCCGCACACCTGAGGTACAAGCCACCCGCTTCCCGCTTGGAGTAAAACCCTGGTTTGCTGTATGGGCTACGATGCGCAGACAAGTTAGCTGGCTACCCCCCTCAGCCACTGCGGTAAATCCAAACATCAGGAAATTGACCAGTTCGAACAGTGTTTCGGAAGAGTTCAAAATAACCAATTTTTCAATATATTTTTATACACTTGGCAGGAAAATGGGCAACTGAATGGCCATTTCTGGTCATAGATCTTCAAGGCCCAGGAATCTCGAACTCGAGTGCTGTATCTCGCCGGGAAGGACTTGAATTTTTGGTGAAATGCGATGGAAAATATTTTGAAAACTGACCATTCCCGTTTATCTTGTCTTTTTCGGATAAAAAGCATTCTCATTGAATGATGAGTCGGCAGTTTTTTGGAGGCTAGCAGCTTTTGGACCCGATTTAATCAAACAATTTGAAAAAAATCTCGTTTTTAGCCACAGAGAAGACGCTACAGCCTTAAAGTCAAGGATATCAGCATAATCATGTCGGCCGACGGTTAGCTGCAGAATCGGTGAGCGCCGAACCTTTCAGGTCAGGCGCAATACTGTCAGCGTCTCTCGGGCGCAAATGTAGAGCCGAATCTAACTTTTAGAGCTCAGTTGTGTAGATGAAGTTTGTCGCTTTTTTCGTCAAAGCAGGATGACATTTCGTGCCTGGGGAATTACGATGAAGCCTCAACAGAAACCCAAAGAGTGCACTGAAAAATTAAAAATGCGAGGGCAC